GGGCCAAACACCCCCATGTTCGGTTCATGGTCAAACATTCGAACCTAATGAATATTCGTCCACAATGCAAGTCTATGGGACTCGAACTTGTAAATTCAAAAGTGCCCATTTTGAAGGCGTATATGCAAGTTATTGGCCATTAAAGAGTATGGGGACTCGGGTACTGCCTTGAGGGACATGAATCAGGGAAGAAGAAAAATTTCAAAAAAGTGCTGTTTTTAAAGGGGCAGTAGTTTTTCATTGCTTAAAATTTAAAAAAATAAAAAAGGAAGGAAAAATTCCTTTAAATATCATGCCTGGGGGGTCCCCTTAAACTACCTGCAACTGTACAGAACCTGCTGCAGGACTGACATTTTTTTTTTAATTACATTTTTAAAAAATAAAAACAAAATAAACAGCATGAGGTCCCCCCTAATCCATACCAGACCCTTTTGGTCTGGTAGGAAGGTTAGGAGGGACCCAACAGTAAAAGATTTAAAAACAAAAGGCCTGGTAGGACTTTTAAGGGGAACCCCACCCAAACAAAATGGGGGGGAGCGTGGGCCCCCCTAAATTCTTACCAGACCCTTGATCCGAGCACAGGCCTGGCAGGGCAGGAAAAGTGGGAGGGGGATCGAACGGGCCCCCCCCCTCTACTTGCTCCATGGGGATGGTGTTCTCATGCCAATGGGGACAAGGTCCTCTTTCCCACAACCTGGCCCGATGGTTGTGGGGGTCTGCGGGCAGGGGAGCTCATTAGCATCAGGGTACCCCTTTATATAAGGGGGCAACCTGATGCTGCTCCCTCCTTGTGAATGAGTAAGGAGTACTTGTACCCCTACCCATTCACTAAAGGGTTAAATTCAGTAAAAAATGGAGACCAGTCTTTTGAAAAAATCCTTTGTTGAAAACAAAACAAGTCCTTTATATATAAGAAAAAAAAAAAGTAAAAAAAAAAATGGTTCCATCATTGTAATCGATCGCCAGTCATGGCATCCAGCGTTGTCACAACGATGCCGATTCGCCTAAATAAACAGCCCGCCTAATTCCCTTACGGTTTGTGTGTTCGGAAAACACAGAAACGGCCAATGTTCGAGTTGAACTTACATTCGACTCAAACACCCAGCCCAACACTTGTTGTGGATTGGGGTTAGTTTGTTTGTATGACGGGGATGGAACAAAGCCCAATTGTGTTACTCATAAGCTCATGCAACTCAAAAGTCCTGGGGGTGGGGGCAACATGCCAAATGCCACGATTTTCCCTTAATTCTCATTTATGATGACCACATAGAAAATGAGACAAATGGCATGGACAAAGTTGTAAAAAAATGCAAATTGTTTTGACTTTTGATTTAATTGCTGTTTCCCTGTTGGTGAGGGTTCCCTCACTTCTGTGCCATCAAGCAGAAGTGAGGAAAATTCCCCAGAGTGGAGTCACAGAAAGAGTTCTAATCTTCTCTCTACTTTTTCCAAAATTTGGAATCTTTTTGGTTGGAGAACAGCTTTAATATTACCAACCACCAGAATTAGAAATAACTTCAATATAACGTATTAAATTTAATTGAGAATGTTACCTAAACATTTCCTTTAGTTTTACATAACGATTGCTTGAGTGGTGTAAGTGTACTTACCTTTTTATCTGCAAATAGGAAAAACGATAATTATGAAGTTCTCTTGGCAATCCTGTTTATCTTCTTGTGCTTTTGCTGTCTGTCTGCGTGCCAGTGAGCTCCTCCTTTTGAAGTTGCCTGTTAAGTCTAATGGAGCAGATCACATGTATGAACTGTTTTTTCTGCTCTTAATTTAGGGGAAAGTTGTCTTGTTTAAATGCCCAACATGTAAGCCCTTTACACACAAAGCCTCAAATTTATAATGACAGTGGAGGGAACTGATGCTACAATGTAATATTGGTACATGTATGAAATAATGCCCTATTTAAGCAGCTTTTGAAATGCACAGTGGTGTACGCAATACAGTATCCATTAGCTTCCAGATAAGAGACACTGGAGGAGATTTACGAAAAATGAAGCAGTCGGAATCTGGTTCAGCTGTGCACGGTAGCCAATCAGCTTCTAACTTCAGCTTTTTTGATTAAAGTTTAACTTTTTAACGAGTACATAAAAATGGGTAAACATGCATGATTTGTAATGCAAAAGAGACATGCTTTGTCTCTTCTGCATTAAAATTGCCTGCCTGTCCACCCCTGTACAGTGGATCGCATATGAAGCTCGCTGTAGAAATTCAGCAATGCTGAAGCCAACGGAACTCCTGCACATGTGCAGGAGGGACATCATCCACGCCCAATGAAGGCAGCTGACATTTGATACCCAGAATCCGGCCACTCAAATATGTCAGCAGCCGGTGGGGAGCTCCAGGATATTGAATTGTTGGAGCCGATTATATATTTATATATAGTTCCGCTTTAAGATTTGACAAAACCTGGAAGCTGATTGGTGTTTGTGCAGTGCTGCACCAGATTTTGCATGCTCCAGTGTTAGTGCAGTAGAGTCGCAGTGGTATATATAGGTTTACACACCTTTTACCCAAAACAAATTCAGTTGCTTCAAGTAATGAATTTTTTTAAATCTCCACATAGCAGAAAATGAGGACCCTCTCTTTATAGTTGGAGGCTCCTAAAATTTTAGATGGCAGGTGGCAAAGACTGTGGAGAAATGGGGTCCTCAGTTTTGTTTACTGGATAAATCGAAAATGTTCAAAAAATGAACATACCCTTTTAACCCTGGTGCTTGACAACAACAGAACTAATACTGCCTGTACAGTTGTTCTAAAGTGCTGTCATTTTATAGAAAATGTATTCTAGTCATAGGTACACCACCATAATTTGTCAGCACATCAGCTTCCTATTGATACCATTTAAACAAAAATAATCAGCTCCTTTTCAGTTTAAATCACAACTAAACCTCCTTTTATCCATTTGCAACTGCTTGAGCCTTGCATTTTAAGGGATCCTCCCCCCTCTTGGGGTTATAGATTATGATTTATTTGTTTTGTTTTCTTTTTTTTCAATAGGCCCTTTCCCTGCGTGGGCTGTCACTGCACATTTTTTGTGTATTTACCTGTTAAAATCAATAAAACAGATTGAAGAAAAAAAAAAAAAGCAGAACTAAACCCTCCAACTTAACCGTCTCTCAAATAGTTTATGCTCAATGCATGCCTTGAATGATAACTGTTTTGCAAGAGTGCTTATGTTGGCTCTCAACCAAACTGTGAAGCCATTAAATGACTGCTGTCATAACTGATCAGATGTGCAACTTCATGACAACTACAGAGCAAACAGAGTCTAAGATGGCAGCTTCCATGGCTGTATAGGAAACTTTAGTTCCACTTTAAGCTCATCCCAGCTGTGAACACAGTAGTCCCTGGTTCACTGCTATGTGTAAATCATTGGGAATGATCTCAGCGCCCCTAAAATCTAGATCGCTGTTCTCTCTCTGAAGAAATGGGGTGCTCTTTCAAACCAATGGAGGTCACTCATGAACAAGTGCTCAGTTTTTGTAGTTTTTTGGTGTTTTCAGATGTGGGTTGTAGTGTTGTAGTGTGTCAATCCATCTTTGTCAATATCCAAACCTATGGTCATGAGCTGTGTATAAAGAAAAAGGTTAAAAGTATAAGCAGCAGAAAGCAGTTGTGTGCAAGTGGCTACAATGCTTACTTTCCAAGGATTGTGCCAGTATGGCAGCTTAACGATGTAAAAGACAAATGCTGCTACTTTGATTATTCAAGTAATATGGGAAACCTTTATTAATGCCCCTTATGTAGCTCCCCAGAATTTGCAGCAAGGTCATCCAACAGAGTGGAGGCTACAAGGGAAAGCTAGAACATATTTTCCAGACTAAGAACACCATTGAATCTTCCAAGAAATGCTGTAGTGCCTTAGAAGCCTCAACTGACCTGTCACAATAAAATATGGGAGCTGCAATCGCTAACTTGTTTTTCAAAGTGTAGGCTTTGCGATTATCATCCTTATTCTTCCCTTCCTGGGTCAGTCTACCCCAAACCGATATCTCAGTTTTTGTTAGATCTTGGACAGTTGAATCATCTAAAAGTTTATTATGCTGTATGTCTCAGGAAATTGAGATTGTTTGAATTTTTGGCTATGCACATCTATTCTAGTTATTATGAGGGGATTCAACTCCCATTTTAGGATTTGTTTTATGTATGTAATATTATGGCAAATTTAACAGGGGCTAATGGAACATGAAAAGGTAGCAGTGAACACACAAAACTCCCAGTTGGACAGAAAAAGAGATGGGAATTATGGGAAAGGGGTCCTTCCTTTGGTGTATCCAAGACATCCAATTTGTAAGGGTCTGACCCAGCCTGCCATGGCCAATCTAATGCTAATCCTATACTAGGATGTGCATATCAGGTGTTGGGACATCTAATATGTACATTCATATTCTAGGCCAGTGACTCACTATGTGGTAAAGCCAGGATCAGAAATACAAAAAAGCCCTCAAAACAAGTCAGCAACTATAATTCCAGATATTTATAGCCTTATAAATTCCCTTTAACCCCTTCACCACCAGTTGCAGGATGTCCAAATCTGATACAGAAATTCCGTCCCTACCAGATTAAAAGGTTCCTACCGTGTCTCCCTCTATGAGTCATTCCCACGAGTAATTCTAAAATGAAATCATTCTCGGCGTGAGTATAGAAATAAATTGAATAAAAAAGATTCCATTTCTCCTCATATTTATTCAGCCTGATAAATTCAGTGGGCTGCAGCATTAACAGCAGCAGGGGATTCCTTGCTTCTAGCGTTAAATTACTGTCATAATCGCTCAATTATTTCTTCCTTGTACTGTTTAAAATAAAAATCCATCACTTTCCATGATTTTTTTTTTTCTTCCCCCCTCCTAACATTTATTAGGTTGAGTGTTTAGGAAAATCAATTATAGTCAGTCGGGCATGAATTGATGAATGTTCTGAGATTAATTGTCAGTTGTTAAAATGAATGTATTTCTCTCTTCACCTTTTTTTATTTTTCTTCCTCCCTTCAGAGAGCAGAGGTGGCGCAGAGAGAGGCAGAGGCCTTAAAGGAACAGCTCTCATCACTCAACAAATCTCTTCAGCATGCCCCACAGACGCAGAAACCGCCTGATACTGTGAGCAACACAATTAATTATTCTGTTCACATACTCCTCATCTTCTACAAAATATGCTTTCATGTCGTGTTGAGGCCAACTCTTTTATAATTATTTATAGAGGAGAGAAGAGTACGATTTTTCTTTTGCTGCCTGTGCCCTTGTTGGGGAGATTTACCCTTGCTTCCTGTCCCCATAACATGGTTTCACAAGGAGAGGTACTGATGGAATATCTCTGATGGAAATAGAGACTGCAAAAAAAAAACACATTTACTTAGCAGATTGGGCAAAGACTATGACATCTCTTAGGATTTTATAGCTCTTTTTTTGTTTTGTCCTGATACCATCAGGGCAGATGAAGGGAAATCGACTCAATGAAAGTACAGGCAAGCATAAAGACCCGACAGAGGTTTTGACAATTACCCACTTTATTGAAAACAAAAAAAAAGCTTTAGCTGGAGTTGAGCTTTAATTCACAAGACAAAAAGAGTTTTTCAGCAACCCTGTAGCCACATATCACTTTTGCTCAAAAGGTCACTTGTAAAAGAAGTGTGAACATACCTACCTTCCTTGCTGCTCATATATTGAAAACCCACTGCTTCTCTGCTCCCCAGCCACTGCAAGTATTCTACACATTTATGGTGTGTGGAATCAGGGGCGGACTGACAACTCATAGGGCCCCCGGGCAACAGGGTATCATGGGGCCCCTGTGTCCTCACCCACACCCAAAAAAGCCTATGAAAAAGCCAATGACAGGTACCAGGGGCATCTCATGGGGCCCCCTACTGACCCTGGGCCCTCGGGCAGTGCCCGAGTGCTCGAATGCTCAGTCCGCCCCTGTGTGGAATACTTGAATGATAACTGTTTTGCAATTGTGCTTATGTTGGCTCTCAACAAAACTGTCAAGCCATTAAATGGCTGGTGTCATAACTAGACAGAGTCTAAGATGGCAGCTTCCTTGGCTGTAAAGGAAAGTTTAGTTCCACTTTAATCTCATCCCAGCTGTGAACACAGGAGTCCTGGTTCATTGCTATGTCTAAATAATTGGGAGTGATCTCAGCACCCTTAAAATCTAAATCTCTCTCTCTCTGAAGAAATGGGGTGCTCTTTCAAACCGGTGGAGGTCACTCATGGACAAGTGCTCATTTTTTTTTGTTTTTTAAGGGAAATTGACTCAATGAAAGTACAGGCAAGCATAAAGACCCGACCGAGGTTTTGACAATTACCCACTTTATTGAAAACAAAAAAAATGCTTTAGTTGAAGTTGGACTTCAATTCACAAGACAAAAAAGTTTTGCAACAACCCTGTTGCCACATATTATTATTATTATACAAGATTTATATAGCGCCAACGGTTTGTTCAGCGCTTTACAATATAACGGGAGACAATACAGCAACAATACAGTTCAATACAAGAGGGATAGGAGGGCCCTGTTCCTTGGAGCTTACATATCACTTTTACTCAAAAGGTCACTTTTAAAAGAAGTGTGAACATACCTACCTTCCTTGCTGCCCATGTATTGAAATCCCACTGCTTCTCTGCACCCCAGCCATTGCAAGTATTCTGCACATTTATGGTGTATGGAATACTTGCTCCCCTATTTTCCCCTGTACTTCCTCCTGCCAGCACTGACTCCACCACAGCGGCTGGTGGGAGGGGGAGCAAATACTCAACAAATATTTACAGTGGCCTGGGAAGTGGAGATGCTGAGACTTTTCAATACATGGGCCGCTGAAAAGGTAAGTACATTCATGATTTTTTTACAGCCCACCTTTTGGGTAAACGTTTTGCTACGATGAAAGGGTCATTTTACTAAATACGGTATGAACTAGCCACATTTAAAAAACCCAAAAACTTTTGCTCAAAAAAAGAAAATGTTTATGGGGATGGTATGGCTGTAACAGTGAGAAATGGAAGAATTTTCAATAATTAGGTTCTGTTTCAGGTGAATCAGGGCAAAAAAAGGCTCCATTAACTTGTGGCAGATTTTTTTCCTGCATGTCATGTGTTAGTCATATTGCTACAGTAGCAGGTCTCCTAACTTCAAAACATGATAAATATTTAAAAAACTATTTCAGACAAAACCTTTTTTTCTTTGCAAAACGCAGGATTAGAAACTCTGTTGCGCTTTTATTACTGACTTTGTACCATCACTTCCTGTCAATATTACACCAGTTGAAGAAATGAGGGGAAAGTTGTCACTGGGATAGGAAGACAATCAAATGTCACAGACATTCTAAAACTTCCATATTTAGCTACAAAAATCATTTTTGTTCCCTATCTCTGCCCCATCGCTTCCTGTCTATTGACATTATGATACCTTGATTGGAAGTGATGAATGGGACACAGATGGAAAAAAAAAATAGACAGGGGTTATAACCCTCCCTTACTCTATCCAAAATGAAAAAAAAAGGTCTTCCTATAGCTCTACTTCAATTTGTCATATTATGTCACTTCAGGAGCTTCCTATTTTAGAACCGTGCTTGGGATTTTTAATTAGAATAGATCTCTGGCAGCACATTAAGTAGCAATACAGCACTTTGCAGTGAAGGGTATGGCTCTGTTTTGCACTTATTATGTTTAAATTTTCTTTTATATGGGTTATGCATGAAGTTAGTAAATATACACTAACGCACGCACAAAAATCTGACATTCCACAATAAAGCCTGTTAGATAATAGAGCATCGTTATTAACACTTTCATCTTATTAACGGGATGCAGCTCTGAACAGTCTTTAGTCAACTGTCTGGATTGGCCACCTTTTGATTTTTTTGCTTTCAGTTGTATTTTTGAATATTAACTTTTCCCCTGCTACTTATAGAAATAAATATTGATTGAATTAGTCTATATAAGGAGTCACAGAAATGTTTAACAGTGTTGAAGAGTTGTGATGCATAGATACATAAAAACGCTTTATTATTTGTGAGTGCTTGCTGCACGTTTAGTATAGTTGCGTTGGTGTTTTTTTTTTTTTTTTTTTTTTGTGGCAACCCTGAACGCATACTTACCCTTACACAGGAGCAGACGCTGGAGGGAACGGCACGCTCCAATATGGAGGTTGAACTTACGGCAAAGGAGAGGGAAATTGCTCAGCTTGTGGAAGATGTACAGAGGTTACAGGCCAGTCTTACTAAACTTCGAGAAAATTCTGCCACTCAAATATCGCAGCTTGAGCAGCAGCTGAACACCAAGAACAACACTCTTAAGGTATGCACTTTCGTATACAGCTAACGGGTAACCAAAAGGTATAAGAACATTTGCATTTTCCTGCACTATATAAGTCTGAAATCTGTACATCATAAGATATTCTCATATCGGACCTTCAATAAGATCCACTTATTAAATTAGGCCCTCCACTCTATGTCCAAATAATGCATCACACCTGAAAAAAAAAAAATATATAATTTCCTTTCTCTCAGCTTCTGCACTGGAGAGTGTGCTATTAGTCTTTCCAGTGAGATGCTGGAAACCCAGAGTTTCCCAAATCTCTTGAGAAGACATTCATGCAGTGTGCAAGATCTCACTGGAAGGATTGTGATGACACCCATGACTAGATGTCATGAGCAGAAACTGAGTGAAAGGTAAGTATATGTTTAAAGAGACCTTGTAACCAACTTTAAAAATTGCAGGTAAAAGGCACAGAAAAAAAAAAATAAAAATAGGTATTTAAAACAGTTGCTTGCAGTTTTTTTCATTTAGCTAATTGATTTTTTATTAACTTGCAATGTGCCTCTGAACTTACTTGCAAATTGGGCTAGTCCTTTTTCTGGAACAGCTCCTTCACTGCCATATCATTACTTTCTCCTCTTCTGGGAGTTGCTAGCACAACTCCTTCAACCCTCTACATAGTCTTTTATGTAGCTGTCAGGAAGGAGCAAAGGGGAAAGCTGACATCACATCCAAGATGGCGTTGCACAGCTTTTACAGGTAAATAACGTGCCCTAAATGATTTAAATCTGCATATAATCTTATGGGATGATTGCTGTTGAAATGAATGGTCTGGAGATAGGGTCTATTATATGGGCTTGTTTACACTTGTTTCCAAATGTGGCATTGGACATGCTTTTATAAAGCTCTCTCAATGCCAATCAAAACACCTGTCACTAAATAAAATGGTAAGCTAACAGTCCTATTTACACATTGCGTTTGCTTTGCTTCGCTTTTTAAAATTATACCCCATGTTGCTTTCGTGGTGCTTCAGAGTGTCTCCAAAGCCTCCACAGAAGTCTGTGACAAAGCCCGCTAACAGAACATGTAGCTTTTGAAGAGCTTTTGTTCAGTGTTAACTTTGCTTTGTTTTAAAGGTATTGCAGGTGTGAGATATCCCACGTCATCAGCAGTCACTTTTGGTTCATGTATGTGTGTGTGTGTGTGTATGTGTGTATATATATATATATATATATATATATATATACACACACACACACTCTGGAAGTGTCTGGTGCAAACAAAATATCTGCTGTGCAGTTTGAAGCAGCAGAAAGGTGAGCAGGATCTGGAGTGGAGCAACTAGCAGATGGCACACGTGGTGTACAACATGGGAAAGCTATAGTGGAAGCAGCTACCACACAGAGAGAAAGAGTTCTGAGTGCAAAGGATCAGCAGAGCTGGGGGATCAGTGCAGAAGAATCTAGCAATGTCACGTGGTGCGCAGCATGGGAGCAATATAGCGGTAGGTGGGTGGGGACCGTAGAGAGAGAGAAGGATCAGCAAATCAGAGGATCATCAGAGCTGGGAAGTTACTGAGCAGGGGATCGGCAGAGATGGGGGTTACCACAGAGCTGGAAATCCGCAAAGCTGGGGTTACTGCTGAGTTGGGCATCAGCAGAGCTGGGGGTACTACTGAGCAGGGGATCTGCTGAACAAGAGTACTAATAAGCTGGGGATCTGCTGAGCAGGGGTACTAATGAGCTGGAGATCTGCTGAATGGGTGTACTAGTGAGCAGAAGTTCTTCTGGGCCCCTTTAAAACAAATAGAAAATCAACACACACAGAGGGCATTTTCCAAGCTTCATTAAAGCTTCAAAAGAAGCATGAAAAACACATAAAAAAGCATGTTGAAGCGGTAGGCGCTTTAATATGGGTCAAAGGCAAAGCAAGTGTAAATGAGCCCTATGTGCACTTTTCTTTTCTTTTTACAGGCATGATGCAGCATTTTGGCATGTGGTAGGAGTTTCATGCAATAAAGTAAACCCTGCATTTCAGTGCAAGGTCTACTGTCAGCAAACTGCTACTTAGACCTGGATTTCAGGTGTATATTGAAAAAAACATTTGTTACAGTGTTAATAGAAGAGTTAAAAGACCTGCTAAATTTTTTTGCTGTTGTGCATCACTGGGGAAATTTCCCTGACTTCCTTTCCCAGAGATGCAACAGTAAATTTGTGGAATCTTCCCAAGTTAGATGAATTACCCTCTTAGACACTTCTCCCTGGAACAGATTTATTCAATGGAAGATCCCTCACCTCTTGTTCTGATGTAAACTCAAGTTTTGGTATTTCTCTTTACTTGCCTTCTTGGCTCATCAGTAAAAATACAGGAATGAATATTCCCAATGGGGGCAGCAATAAAAACTTGATAGAAAATGTGACCCTTTCTCACTCTATCCAAAAACCTAAATAAAAGGTTTCACCTAGATACACACTTTAAGGTAGAGCTATAGGCAAAACATTTTCTTTTCCTTTTGGATATAGTAAGGGAATGTTATAACCCCTGTCATATTTTTTTGCCATCTGTGTCCCATTGTGGAGATTTCCGTTCACTTCCTGTCCCATAACCAAACAGAAAGTGATAGGAAACCCCTGCAAATTAAGAGAATTCCTTGGGGATCCCAGTGTCCCCCCTTGGAAAATTTCCCCTCTATTACTTTTCTGGGGGCAACCCAAAATTTGGGATTTTCTTTAACTTTCAATGATAATGGTAAACAGGACAAATAGAGAGGGAGAATCTCTCCCTAATGGGGACACAGTCAGCAATAGAAACTGATTGGTGTTCTAATGCCTCTAAACTCTATCCAAAATTTAAAAAAATGTTTTGGCTTTAGTTGTACTTTAATCCACATATACATTCATTGGAAAAAAGATTTGCATTTGTCTTGAGATTAGCCTCTTGTATTAGCCCCAATAATTACCTATTTAGTTGCACTGGGAGAAGGACCAGCACCAGGAGCCCATCAGGGCTCTATCGCATACCACAGTGTTGTCATCTTAACACTGAATATGCTTAGAGAGCTGCTCCTTTATTTATTTATTTATTTGTTTATTTTATTCTTTTTTACAACGTATATAACTGCAGTGTAGTGTAGAGGTAGGTCCGGAACCTGGCTGTCAGGGGCCTAGTTTACATAAGCACCTTACAGTATTCCCAATCTTTTGACAGGTAAAACTGTTTACTCTTTAAGCAAGACTGTAAAGGAAACTTATCAGCTATAGGTGTACTGTGATGGAATAAAAAAATAAGAATTCAGTGTGTTAGGTTGACTATGATGAGTAGTTGATACCAGGCAGTCGTTAATACAGTAGACTCTAAAGAAAACAAAATTTAGGTAAATCAGTTCATACTGTATATGACACAAGGTTTTATCATGTGTAGATGATTATAGTGATTTGGTATTAATAACTGGTAGGATGAACTGTCCCACAATCCATAACCCGTAAAAGAAAAAAAAAATAAATCTATATGATAATTACTTCCCTAAGAATATGAGCAGCCTTGTGTGGAATCTTACAGGCACAGGATATGTCTGTCCCGCTGAGCTTTTTAATTCTGATCCATGAGAAACAGATAGATAGTGATTTGCCTAAGGTCCCGAAAACAACAGATACCAGAAACAGGGAGATCAATTGTTTTTGATGCTTCTGGGGTCTGGCATACACTGAATCACTGATATTCATCACTGTAGGAGAAGCTCGGTGCTTTTGCTAGAGCTGTTATCAACCTGTTCCCTGCTACTGAGATATGTTATGTGTTGGAGAAACACCATTAACCTTATGTGCCCTGCAAAATACATTGCTGCAGTATAATGTGCATTTATTTACATGCATCTCAGATAATTCGGGACATCATGAAATTGTGCTCAATGAGACGTTCCTAATAGACTGTGGTTTTTGGATGTGCACACTAAAGCAAAACCTCTTGATCTGTGTGAGTCATTTATTCTCACCGACACGCATGGCTGGCCCACGCTTTGCATACGTCTACATCCTTTGATGGATGATGTCACCACAAATTTGTCTCGTGTTCCGGACATAAAATAAATTGCTGCCCTGACACTGTAACATGACTGCGGGAATGCAAATGCCAGGACAGCATTATATCAACATAACAAGGGTGATTTCTTCAACACAATAAGGATATATTCTCCCCTGGCATGCTTATTCATTAAGGCAAAGTCTAGTAACCCACAGGCACCTATCAGAATTAATATTTCACTGATCTGACTTTGCTAAACACAAATCTGATTAGCTGTTTTGAATGAGTGCTCATCTTCATTGCTTTTTGCTCTACTGTATTGAGGAAGCCCAAATTTGTAATATGCACTGTACACAGACAGGCACTCCGGTTCTACAGTAACATGACAAACAACATGTCTATGTTCCAAGAGCTAAAATGTGTATAAAATGTCTACGTTAAGGTATGTGTGCTATCCACAGAATCTGTTTGTTTGCACTGTTATTTCTATCAGACACTTCACTTCAGGAATCTGCTGGATACATCAGATGCAAATGGGGGGATTTAGTAAAAAAAGGTGCCACAGATTCTGGTGCTTCTATGCATAGTAACCAATCAGCTTCTAACTTCAGCTTGTTCAATTAAGCTGAAGCAATAAAATCTAGATACTGATTGGCTACCATGCTTCCAGATTGACTACCATGCACCAGTTTCTGTGTTCACCAGTTTTACTAAATGTCTCCCAAAGTGTTCTATAATTGGACAAGATGAAGCGCATCAAACCATTCCCCTCCCTCTCCACCTTGTCCAATCAGAGAACGCTTTTCATTTATTCAGAGCATGCAAAGCATTCTCTGAATGGTGCCTGTGCTGAGTGGCCAACCTCCTGTGTTCATAGTGCATCAGGCCAGCCGCTCAAAATGGGAACCTAGAGCAAGTGGAGATCACTGGGGTAGTGATGTCTACTTCAGTGATTTCCAGCTTCCAGGGGAATCATTTATACTCTAGTACTAAAGTTTTGGTAGTTCAGTCCTGATTGTAACTCCACGTTCAGAAATGTCAAATGTGCTTGTATTTGGAGGGGTTTGGAAAGAACTAGAAAGTATGTCTATTCATTTTTTTTTTTTTTATTTAAATTTGCTATCCAGGGCTCTATAAGAGAGATTTCTCCTCACTTCCTGTCCTATTGACAGTGGTTTACCAAGAAGTGGCGGTAAATCTTCAACAACAACATAGAAAAAAAAATTATTTTATTTAGTAGAGTGGGGAAGGCTGAAACCCTAAACCCTGTTTAATTGCCTCTGTGACCCCTGCAGTTTTTCCTTAAAGTGATAGTAAATGCTACAAAAATAAAATTCCAGTATCCCTGCAAGGTAATGGCATAATGTGCTAGTATGCATTGCACAGTACTAGCGCATTATAAAAGACTTATCTGTGAAGCAGAGCCCTTCAGTCACCGCTGACAGAGCTTCCATCTGCACTCCGTATTCCCTCTGGGTTCACAGGGTGTAGTCGTTTGAATGGCCGAGCGCTGATGGCATCACTTCTGTGTGTGTTCATGGGAGCGTACTCCATATGCTGTCCCTTCAGAGTGTAGAGTGCATGTGGTGGTGACATCACCGGCTGAAAAACATGTGAGAATCTCCTAAACGGTGCACTGTTAGGAGATATTAACTTTACCTACAGATAAGCTTTACTATAAACTTACCTGTAGGTAAAAGTTGCAAATCAGAGTTTACCACTTCTTTCACCTTCTCTCTAGTAAAGCTGTTGTCACTGCTACTGTAAGTGATGAAAAATCTCTCTAATAGAGCCCTGATTTGTGGTAAAACTCAACAAGGGTTCTAATCCTTCTTTACTCAAAACTAGAAAAAAAGTTTAGGCCAGACATCAAGCATTTGTGCAAGATACCTACCACTTGCAAGGTGCTTTGGATTGCTTACCACACTGATCTTTGAAAGTACCTATATCTGGGCTTATATTAGGTTATTAAAAGAGAAGTATGGCCAAAGATTTTTTGACCATACTTTTCTTGTGGGTCACAAGAGTGTACTTACTTTTGCAATCCTGTGACCCAGAGTTGCCAACAGCAAGCTGTAGCTCACTATCAGCTGACATCAGAGTCACTTCAGGCTCTGGAAGGATCCTGACAATATTGTCTGGGTACACCCAGCTGCTTGAATGACAGCTGGCTCTGCCTTTCAGTTTGTCACTAAGAGCCGAAGCCCCTCTCTTCTGCCTGTCATTCCAGTGAGCTCTGGAGGAGCAGAGCAGAGAGTGGTAACTAACAGACCAAGTGATCAGCGGTCATGTGATCGCTCAGTTCTCAGGCTTAGAGCCTACTTGGGACAACTGCAGCATCACATCAATGCTGCAGCATAGAGGTATGTATGGATGTTTTGTGTTTTATTCATTCATATATATATATATATATATATATATATATATATATATATATATACCCCAAAGCAGGGTCTCTGGATAGTAAACATGCACTGCTGGGATTTGTACGATACCTTCACATGTGCTGTATATCTATGCAAATCATTGACATAATCTATTTCCCTTTCCCTTCAAGATTTGTGTTTTTACCAGACTGTTGATCCTTTTTTTACATTTATTACATCAAAATAATTTGATCAATCTTGAAAGACTTGCCAGTAACAATCTACATACATGCTCCTGAATTGAAATCTATTAATGTGCTGCACGTTATGTGTAACAACTGCTCTTTAGCCACTGATGTCATTCTCTTTGTATATTAGGCAATTGTTCGGCTCTGTACGTTTTGGCACGTGAGCGGATTCCAGCTGAATGCCTTCACTTGCACCATTAAAATCACATTAACAATTTTCACATGGAAGTCATAGTGACAGTTGTTTGTTTGGTGTACTGTAACTTGTGGAACACTGTATGATATGATGATCAATTTCTCATACAGCCAGGGACTGGGATTTGCAGCTTTCGCGCAAATATGCAGTACTTCTCCACCGATATAAATACATGTAACTGTATATAGCATTAAAAGCTGAACTTCAGGCAAGAAGCCAGTGACACAAGCAGTAATAAAAATGTTTAGGTGTATTTCAAATGGTACATTGATCCCGAGGCCAAATACGAGTCTAAAAGAGAGCTATATATACAGTAGTTGGAACCCCCAAATGGTTGCTTGCTTCTGATATGGTAGATAGTGGCCCAGATCCCTTGTAAGGAAATTTCAAACTGCTACTGGGGTTTCTGGCTCTGCCTTGCCCCCTCTCCTGCCTCCTTATTGTCTGAAAAAGCCACACATTATAGTGATGTACCAGTGGCTAGGTGCCAGTTTTGGGTACAAGCCAAGAACCTTGGAGTTCTGCTATGGGGTCGCAGTGCTCTGCAATGTATTGAAGGCTGTAACATTTTTTTTTGGATAACCAATCTACTTTACCATGTGACATGGCACTGCTATGATTTAATCTTCATTTTAAATCAGTTAAGCTGTATTATGTTAACTGGTGTTCTGAAAATGTTTGCAGCAACTTGAAGAAAAACTGAAAGGGCAGGCTGATTATGAAGAAATAAAGAAGGAGCTCAAGTAAGTGACTAACAGTGCAACTCTATTTTGTGCCCTTTCTATTGTCATTGAGAAGTGTCTGTACATTTAAGATTGTAGAATAAAATTAAGGCAAGCTGTAGTGAGAGATATATGAAGCCTGACATTGGCAACAGCATTTTGAAAGTGCTAGTGTCTATGGCTTTGGTCCTAATATGGTGTGTTGACATGGGACACACATATAGCGAGATAAATCAGAATGTCTGATATGCATACACTTTCCAGATCAAACTTAGAAAGAACTGAAGCCAGAGTCGGTATTCTAGTCAAGCATCTAGCATTTTCAGAGGGCGATCAGCAATTGCAGTCCCTGTATATTTTTATGAGCACTTACTTTTAAGAATTAGGGCTGCACTCCCAGGGCCTGTTTATTCTTTTTGTTTTTGTGTTCCTCTGTGTGTAATTTTCTAATAGATATTTTCTATAAGCCTTAAAGGATAAGTTCACCTTCAGGAACATGTTACATTTTCCACCTGTTTTTTAGGGTGGAACATGTAACATGTTCCCACTCCTGCAGCCGCTCAGTGATCCACTGCCTCTATGTGACAGCAGTACGGGGAGAAGTTCCCCATACCAGCTGTTACTTTTTAAAAAGAGCGCGGCCAAGCGGGGCTCCACCCACACAGCCACATCATTCATTTACAGAGTTCTGTGAATGAGTGAACTACAGTGCCGACATCCTTTTGTGGCTGTTGGCTTGTAATTCTCAATGAACTACCACGGTGTTGTTGAGCACTATAGTAGTTAATTGATTCTTCCTGACGGTGTGTAACAGCCTGCCTGTACGATGTATGGGCAGTCAGCTTACAATGACAATCTGCTGGAGTCCTGCATGGCACCAGCAATCTGCTAACCAGGCTCCTTTAATGGCAAATGTGCATGTATATCCTTTAAACGAACAGTTGTAAGTTTACTTATAAAATATTAATGAAATCTGTAGGTCTTTTTTACGTTTTCTTAATTTTTTTTTTTCTCCCTTCCTTTCCTGCGTCCTTAGATTACATTTTGTATTTCTACTTCCGTTTGGAATGGCTGACATGTACTTTGAAAATGTTCATTTTCTTATTGGAGGATTGGCATGCTCTTCTCCTGGATTTTGCTAATAGATTAGGTTGCACACAGTTTATAAAATCATTAAGATAGTGCAGCCTAAAGCCTAGTACATGCGATCAGAAAATAATATGAAAAATATTTTTTTTCGAACGAATCATACAATAATCTGATCATTAGTACACCAATTTTGTCCGACATTATTAGAAGGGAGAAACACAAAAAATTTTCTCCCACGTTACCAGATCGTACGATTTTTTTTTAATCAGTATTGTTTTTATCCAATAATACAAAACAAATACAATACAATGCATCACTTCTGCATTTTCAAACTGTCCTGCAAGAATTTTTGTAACTTGAGCAACCTCTTCATTTTCGATATGAGACTAGCATGCAAAAAAAAACCCCCAAAAAACAGACAATCATTTGTCCAATATTATTATCGTGTGTACGGGGCTTAACCTCTCAGGGACAGCGCTTTTGCTGCTATTCACTTGTATTCACTTTCACCATCAAAACACAAATATCAGCTCATTGTAAGGCCTGCATGGAGGCTGATTTTCCTGCTTCTTGAGCTCAGGGACAATAACTGACACTCTGGGTTGCTGGAGTAAGACTGATCTGTCAAACAAATGTTTAGTTTTCTTTGATGTAGAGGTAAGGCTGCATTATTATATAAAAAGTGGTGATTCAGATGGTGGCTGGTTCTCTTTAAACAGCAGTTTCAATGGAGGCCACAGACAGGGGAAGACAGTGAGATATGCAAGAAAAGTCTGACTGCCCTAAGGCAAGGCTGTTTGCTGCCTTGCTCAAAATATGACTACTTGGCTCAGCCAAGCCTGTTTATGCCTACAATGAAAGAAAGAGAGCATATAGTTCCAACATCACCTTATCTCAGGAAGGACGATTGCTGTCAAACAAGGTTTTCAACATGTTTTAATCTATAGAATGGATATATAGTACTTAAAATATGAAATGGTTTAATATCAATTCATACTTCTAATAGTAGTGCCCCTTTAAAAAAAGTAAGATATTTGTGCCAGCTTTTGGCTGACTTGAATATCATTGGCTTCAACTGTTTCATATGCTGTCCCAAAATGTAATATTACCGTCTGCATCTATTTTTTGCTTGCCTTTTCCCGGTGTTCTGCCTTCTTTACCAATCATTCTTCTTTTTATTTGACAAGTGCTTCCTGCAGCCATAAATCACTTTGTCCAAATTACATTTTGAGTGTTGAGAAAACAGTTTCTTTGCTCATAATGCACAATCACAAAGTTATGTTGCTGTCTCTGGCACACCAGCTTTGAGGATATGCTGCATACCCATTAGCAGTACTGTTCGAGGGAAAGCGTGCAATCATTTATTCTTTGTGTGCCATGTATGTAGTTTGATAAAAAGGAAAATATGAAATGTTTTCTGTGAGTACACCTTCTGAGTTATAATTGTTAGGTTTTGCCAGAAATTAATCTGATTTGGCTAGGACATATGTACAGTACTTGTTGCCTCTCCTTGTATGTATGGATTAAATAGATAATCTCTTTACTGGCTGTTAGCATGGCTGTTAGCATAAAATGCAAAGTAATTTGTAGATGAACTGCTGAGATAAAGTAAGGAATGGATATGGTCTTCTTCTAAAGAGTTATTTTCGTAAAGCAGCTAATTAAAAAGAAAAGGAATAAACCAATTAATAAACTAATTACATGTGGTTAACAAGCGTAAAAATACCTCTTGAAAAGCTGTCCCTGCTTTCAAACCGTGCAGCCACTGAGCAGTAATTCAGTCTGAAATTTTAGAGCCAGAACAATTTACATTCAAGATTGCCTGACCTGCTAAACCCTGCCGACTCCTTCTCCCATCTGCGACACTGCAGCTTTTTCAGATCTGTCCATGGTCTCAACACCAAAAGATTTTGAGAGGTACAATGCTTCAAGATACTTCTCTGCGCAAGAACAGCAACCCATCATAACCAATCAATATACTGTGCTGAATGCAGATGCGTTCTGATTGGTTGCGCTAAATTGCTGCATTTTATAATAAGAACCATTTATTAAATGGGCTCAATGAAATTTGAGAAAACTGATAGATGTGCTGTGAAAAGCCACTATCACTGTGCTACATGACTAAGCAGGAAGCACAGCATGCACACTTTATGTAATAAGCAGGTTTTGCTGTCTGGTGCTATGAGGTTTAATAGAAGCTGCTGCTACTCACAAAGGTTGTGCTGCTTGCCCCTTCTGTCCTCTCCTTTATTCACAGAACTCATCCTAATACTATCACACAGTGAATCACCTGTTAATGGAGGGAGGAGTTGAATGACAGCATGTCCACCTTCATTCACAGAATGTGAAGCACTGTGTAATAGTAGTAAGATGAGTTCTATGAATGGTGGAGAGGGCAGGAGGGGATGAGCCAGAAGCACAACTTTTGTGAGTAGAAGCAGCCTTTAACATTACAATGATGGAAGACAGCAGCTCAGGGCAAAATCCAGTAGCAGTGAAGACACTGGAAGATTTTTATTAGAAGCAACCACCTGCAGTTAATGCCTGTACACAAAAACAACTAAAGGTTTTGGTGCTTTATCCCATCAACAAAAAATAAATAAACTTACAAAATGTCGTTGTTTTGAAGCTTTATTCATCCCTTTCATTGCACCAGGAGCTGTAATTTCATGGCTCACCCACAGTGCTGTCAACAGGCAAAATCTGGTATTGCAGGTCAGCCAATCTGACCTAGTGATGCTCCATGATCTCTTTAAATAGTCACATTTTACTTAAACAAGAAAAAGCACAAGGGCAAAGGTCACAGTATTTCTTACAAACGTGTCTCCTTGTTTCTACATGGAGATGTCAGAAGAAGCTGTAAATGTTTTATTTATGCTGAAAAGCCTTTACCTTCTACCACATTCAGCCTAATTTATAGTATATTCATACTACGGCCCCATGCACACTGGAAGTGTTTACAGCTGTTGTTTTGGGCAACAGGGTTTTTTTTTACAGCCAGTAAACTCCCCAGCATGTTATTCTATGTGTCCATGCACACATTGGCTTTTATCAGTGTGTTTTGGCAGGGGCGTTTTCAGGCTGGGAAAAAAACAAGACTACTGCGTTTGAAGAGGAGTTATTCAGCTATAAAAACGGTCTAATGCTGGAAAAAAACACATCTATCCAGTGTTTGAGTGTTTTTGAGCCTCAAGCTTTTGTGGGAGTATAGTTGTGCTAAAAACGCTAAAAAACATTAATGCAAGACCGCTAAACAAAAATCGTGTTTTTAATGCTGCATTCTACAGCTAACACTACTGCCATTTTTAGAACTTCCAGTTTGCATGAGGCCTACATGTTACATTGAGGAATTCTTACAAACCATGGACTCATGTATTCCCACACAATCTGGTTCTTTCATAGAGTCTTTAGGAGGAGGATCTTTGAAAAATAATGGTGTTATTTAACTATGACTGTTATGCAAATCTAACTCCCTTGCAGCTACACTAACAAATATATACACTTTCTGACAGCTTTAAATGTTATATCCTTATTAACATTTAATTTTATGCCACAATGTGGCCTGCTGGGAATGAGATATGCATTATTTAAATGACCCATAAGAAAGATGTATTTTATCTGGGGACAGATGAGTGTTGTGATTCATTATCTGATTATTGTGATGCAGAGGCAGTTAAGAAAGTTACCAAGAGTTGTCCTTTCAGCAGTGTTGGAAACCGGGAGGGTGATGCTCTGGATGTTTATTGGAAATGGGGACTTAGGACAATAAATTCTCTTTGTTGCTTTTTTCAGCATTCTGAAGTCCATGGAGTTTTCCCAATCTGAAGGACCAGGCGGTCAGGTATTGTACATCTTGTTTTCCAGAACTGTGCAGAATTTAGGCTGCATCTGAAATGCAAACTATCTGTGCTGCCTCACAGCCAACCAGCGTGGATTTTATTTTTGTTGTTAAATGTTCCACTTCATATCATTGCTGATTGGAATCTGACTGCTTGTTCTTAGCTGCTCAGTTCATTGTAGGGGCAAAACACAAGCTGTTGTGGATTTTTTTTTTTCTGATGTGCTTTTGTGAAGCCTCTGTAATTCAGCTTTTGAATATAGCATTGAAATATTAAGCACAATATTTACTTGTGGTAGTTGCTTTTACTATGATCGCTTTTATTTGTTTGTACAAGTCAATTGAAAGACATGTATTAATGCAAGTCTTTTTTTTTTTTTAAGTGTACACTCTTATTTCAGAAATTTTGATAAATGAGGCCATTTTGGTTTGTCACATTGGTACATATTTTTGACAGTCTTCAGAAAGGAACACTATCTCATGTGTTTTATAAAATATGCTTCTGAAAGGAATAAGAAAGCATGCAAAATTCCACATTGGTGTAGTACAACCAAGAAAATATTGGTAGTGCTTTAATAAATCTGAGAAAATAGTGTCTGTGTTGTCTGACATACTTAAAAACCAGACAAAATTAGCAACAAGACACTTGATTGATTATAATCAGCAACAAATACACTTTTACTCCAGCCCTGCTCCATGTTATATATTTCAAATTTTATTTGTATGAATTTAGTTTATTGGCAGGCATTATTATTAAATCACAAAATAAATTGTTCATAATTCTGATAAAAATTGGCAGCTGAATTGTGATTGACGTCTGTGAGCAGCATATGGTTTTTTTTTCCTGCTGTGTTTACCATCCAAATATGCATTTATATTTTATATTACTGGGACTTTGTTTATTTGTGAGACTTTGAAAAATTAGTGAGGTAGTTTCATCTGTGTTTGCAAAAAAATGTGAAAACAATTGGGGACATTTTAAAGACAAGGACAAGCCGGTAACTGGTATCTTCTGTTCTCATAGAAGAACATGAATTTTTTTTTGACAGTCTCTAAACTCACAGAACACTATATTACAGGGCATTGCTCTTTTGAATAACACACACTTCAGAAAAATACAAATTCTTTGACAGTTAAAAAATATACATCCAGTTTCCAGCTTGCTTTTGTGTTCTTACTGTGCCTCGATTCCTCTAATTGTATTGTGGTTTTTGATCAGTTAATTTTCATTGGCTGTATTATTTAGGATGCATCGAAACCATTGGAGGTTTTGTTGCTGGAAAAGAACCGCTCCCTGCAGTCGGAGAACGCCACGCTGCGAATTAGCAACAGTGACCTGAGCGGTAAGTTTGTTTTGCTGACTTGAGTAAGTGACAAAAATGAATGTGCTGTGGAAAGCAGTGTTGGAGACACCTGACAGCAAGATTAATGAACAACGCAATCTGCGAGTATTGTTTGACTTGTAAAAGGTGTAAGCGGAAGAATAGAACACATTTTGGAGACCTTGTTGGCACTGCTTAAATAAAAAGACTAATTACTTTTAGGTAATGACAGCTTTGCAAGGTATCATGGTAGAACATTACAGACCTATTTCCCCCCAATGTTTTATGGGGAAGATGTGTAAACAGAAAAAATATGTTAAAACATTTCAATAGCCTTTTTAGCTATTTAAAGAAACATTTCATTTCAACCGAAAAGCAGACTTCTGCTTCAGAATTGCCATGCATTAACTTTGTGGGGTTCCTGTTTTTCACACTCAGCCAGCACCAGTGATCTTGTCACTGTTTTCCATGTCTGGGTAGAAGAAATTTCTATTCTTAGCTTAACAATTCTAGTCTGCGGAGCTTCCAGCTTACAAAATTTTTTTTAAAGTGTACAGAAAGCGTTAAGCAGCTTTCACAAAGGCCTTTGAGTGCCCTTTGGCTCCAGTCTAGGGGTGACTTTAATTGGCGCATCCGCTGTAGCTTTAGCAAGCTGTAGCCAGCTTTTAGCAAGTACTGTAAAATGACCGGGCAGACCCTTGTTACATGCCTGCCAAACATGATGTTCTTCAGAATGTCGTTCCAGCTAGAATGAAGTGATGCCTTTGAATACATGGATTAAAAGTGGCAAATCCATCACTTAAAACTTCTGGGGGATGGCTTTGGTTTAGCTTCACTTAAATGCTGAGTTCCAGAACTAGCTCCTGTCTTCTGCTTGACTGATAACTGGTGCAATTCACATATGGTCAGGAGTTTGTTTTCCTTTTCACTGTAGAAAAGGGAACAGCCCTTGACTGATCTTGCAGAGGTTGGCCAACGTGTGGTAAAATGATCTGTATGCCATGACAAGAGCTTCTGATGATCAAACTCTTTTTTTTTTTTTTTTCCTCTGTTGTTATTCCTTTCCTGAATATATCTAGGGTTTTGATTGTCTTGTATGTGGCCACCTCAGTATTAATTTTTTGTATATGGCCAACCAAATAATAATTGCTCTCATAGCAGTGGCTTGTTGATTAGGAGGATTTGCTTCAGCTGAGACTTTCAGGCTAATAATCAAATTACACCTCTGTGTTATTACACTAATGAGACTGAAGCATGGGTCTTCTTTCAAATTAGAACAGTGCTAAATAAACCAGTTGTATTTTTTAGAATCTACCATTGACTGAGTCCCAGAAAGTGAGAGAGACTCACTGTAAATAGCTGATTAATGTACCTGACCTGATTTTTGACCAGTTTCTGTGTTTTACAGTTTGCTAAAATTTCTTAAATGTGTGGTTTAACCTGTAAATGAAAATATCTATCGTTATTATCTTTCTTATTTGAGTACTCCACTGATTTCATAGATATGTGGTATGGTTTATTAGCGGTATTTGTGGCAATTGACAATAAGATATTGGTTTCCTATAGAATGCATGGATAGGCTCCTTTCAAGTGTAAATGTTTGCTGTGGGCCACTCAATCGATTGTGTATGCAATAAGCTTATGTTATTGTTGAGAATTGTATTGTTTGTATGACACAGTGATCTGTACTGAAGAGGTGAAGTGCAATAATTTGTCTTAGGAATTCTCCAGGCTGCAACAAACTGTACAAGAAAGGTACAAACATGAAATGCATGTTGTTTGTTTTGGGGGCCTTGTTCGGCTTACTGCAAATTCAATTTAAAAACCTAATTGGCCCTCTTTAAAAGAAAATGCACTTTTTCACTGTGGGGCAAACATTGCGTTTTTATCTTGGTTTTTCCCTTTTTAATCCCCCATAATGCATTATGTTTGACCTTTCTTGTAGGGTCAGCCAGGAGAAAAGGGAAAGACCAGCATGAAACTCAGCGCCCTGCAACCTTGCCGGCCTCCCCTCCCTCTCAGTTGCTCCGCAATGCAGGGGAGCAGGCTTCCAATACTAATGGTACACACAAGTTCTCACCAACGGGTTTAAACCAAGACTTTTTCAGCTTATCCATTGCAAGCCCTTCTTTGCCCTTGGCCTCCACTGGGAAATTTGCACTAAATTCACTTCTCCAGCGACAGCTTATGCAGTCCTTCTACTCCAAGACAATGCAGGAAGCAGGAAGCACAAGCATGCTTTTCTCAACAGGTCACTTCAGCACAAACTCCATATCTTCCCAAAGTCCACTGCAGCAGCCAAGCCCGGATGTAAATGGCATGGCTCCTTCACCGAGCCAGTCCGAGAGCGCTGGAAGCGTCTCAGAAGGTGAAGAAATAGACACTGCAGAAATTGCACGCCAAGTGAAAGAGCAGTTGATCAAGCACAATATTGGGCAACGTATCTTTGGACATTATGTACTGGGATTATCACAAGGGTCTGTGAGCGAGATCCTGGCCAGGCCCAAACCTTGGAATAAATTAACTGTACGAGGGAAGGAGCCTTTCCACAAGATGAAGCAGTTCCTGTCTGATGAGCAGAACATCCTTGCACTACGGAGTATACAAGGCCGACAAAGAGGTGGGTGCCACTTGTTTTTCTTACACTTTGTGTAGTGTTTATTTATTGCATATCACAGCTTTAGAATCTTTTCATTCCTCAGTCATCACTTTCATATCCACTGACACAAGACTAGTGGTTCATTTTCAATTTTGTTGAAGGTAATATCACATCTACATTTAGGGTATAAAAACAACATTGGAGATGTATTTTTGATTTTCAGGACGTGATCATGAAGCAAAATACATGAGAGAGAAGCTTCAGATGGTTAAACCTTTTGAGCTTGACTGAAAGTGTAATAACTTCTGAAGGTTATTATACCTTTGTAAGAGTCAGATAACAGTCCTTTCCTTCTGCCGCTTCTCAAACAGATATTTTGGTTTCTGGTAGGTTTTATTTAGGGACAACAGATTTGTGTGCTGGTACTTTAAGACTTTCCATGGAAGGGATATATGACTGTTGCAGTAATTTGCACTCAAAATGAATCACACAGGATTTTTCTCATGGGTGTGCAGGCCCCTTTTCTTGGTGCCATGTACTGTATCCTGTGACCGGGCTGTTACCAAGGGGCTACAAGTTGAACATGTTACCATGGGGCTTCATTGGACAGTGATCACTTGCTGAAACTGTGATTCCTGATATGTTTCTATCTGATGAATTAGCAGAGGAATGGATCATTTTGTAACTGATGTAAGAAAAAAAAAAAAAGAAAATGTAGAAAAAAAAGCTAAAGCCTTCTGAGCTGATGCACCAATTATGGCCTTAGGCATCTCTCGGTCATGAAAGGTTTATAACTGTCAACTGTGAAGGCCAAAGTATTGTACAACATTAATGTTATGTAACTTCTGAGACCCTCCAAATGACTTCGGCATGCTTACAGGTTTATGCTTAAATCTTCTGATTATACCTGAAACAGGACCCATATTCAATAAGGCTAAGAGCAATGACCCCTAGCAACCATTTAACACTCACCTCTTACCATTGTGACAGTTGTGGAAATGTGTCTGCTTGCTGGGAGTTAATGCTGACTATTGCATTTTGCACAGCATCCTCATAATAAGCTTGCATTGTTTTACAAGTCAAAATGTAGTGTGATGGCATTTACATACGCCTATACATTGTTCTACACCCACTTGTTTGCATCTTCCTATAGATAGTCACCTCGCTTACACAACAGTTCTGTACATATTTAGTTACTGACCCAACTTACATGTCCTCTGCCATGTTAGATTTTGTGTTCCTTATATAGAGATACAAATAGCAGTAAGCAGTTGGATCAGTAATCTTCTGTAATTAGGTAAATTAGGCATTTCCAGTTTAAATACAATCCTCCGAACGCTGGTGGGGTTAATTGATTTTGATATTCTCCTCCAATCACATGGATTGGCATGCACAGAGAGCATAGCAGCGCCAGATGTATCCTGCTTATAGATCAAAGGGTTTCCATAGACAAAACATTGCAGTAACATATTAAATTTCCTATGAAAAGACCTTTGACATATCCACCATAAACATAAATGGTGCATGTTGTGCTAGCAAGACATAGCTAAGAATATCACACTACTTTTCCACTGTTATTTGACTTGCAGTTCAGATGGGTGATTCATTACCAGGCCCATCGATCTACCTATATGATTTTGACGTGCTCAATTCTCTATATGTGGCAATTACTACTAAAAGCTGCCTGCAAACATTTTATAACTAACGACTATACACGGGCTTTATCAGGTGAACTTTCTATAATATCTCCAATAAAATAAGCAAAATAAAAGGTCTATGGATACCTTCTAACCCCACCAGTATCAGAACTAACAAAATGTCCTGGCTTCATTTTTCAGTATAAGAACAGAACCTGGAGACAAAAGTCTTGTATGGATATTTAATGCAGCCACAGTCTACGTAGCCTGTCTACAGTCTATACAGGCAACGAATACAGTATATAGAATATCTGTTTAAGCTAATTAATGCCATGTCTCTTAGAAAGGAATATGTTGTTAAATCCTTACATGAATCCACTTTTAGCGTTTGATATGGTCTAATAAATGTACAGCTATGAGGCTGCTGTAAACACCTTAATAGGTTGTTTCTACCCAAAATTAAGATTCAAGTTTTTGGTAGATGCATGCGAGTTAAACCACTTTTTCTTATATCTCTTGGGGAGTCTATCTGTAATTTTTGAAAATGTATTTTTATAATAAGGATGCATCCAGAAGTGCCTGAACACAGAGAGGGGTGGAAACACCCAAAACTCTCAGGTGTCTGGAATTATGAGAGGAAGAGCTCATTGTTCCTAGATATATAATAATCTGACGCAGACTCAGCCTAACAAGCTCCAGATATAATCAAGCTTCACTTTTGGGAATCAATTCTTTAACGCACAGCTGCTCCCAATAAGCACCAAAAAAAGACCATCCTAAAATATAGGCATTTTCACCTATGTACATGTGTGTTGGCAATTGAGAGATATATAAATATATATATATCTTCTGTGTGTACACATGTGTGTTACTTTACTGGGGGTCCTTTCACAAAGGCTTTCTGATCAGGCAAACCTGATCGGAAGTTCCATGCACCTCCACGGGGCAGGCTGGTGTAAATGGACTTGTGTCCATTTACACCCGCCTACCTCTGAGTCTGTCCAGGTCCAGACATAAAAGCAATGGCTTGGAGGCAGCCCAGTGTAAATTGACACAAGTATGTTTACATCTGGCCGTAAATGGACACATTTTACATCAGCCCACTTATATAAATGCAGACATAAACTGAACAGGCTCAGAGTAAAGTGGCTCCTTGTGAAAATGCCCTAGCTCTTTCAAGCCTTACTTCTAGGCTTATTTGGTAAAGCTTTTCAGATTTTCAAAGAAGTTACAATGTACAAAAGACAATAGCAACCAATGATATATTCATTTACACCAGTGAAAGGTGGGGCATGATTTGTTGCTAATGGTTACTGAAATGTGTACATTGCTCTTTGCCTTACTGAATAAACCATTATGTTGGAGACAATAACTAGTGTTTATAGAAAGGACTAAGCTGGCAACACACCAGTTAGATCTTTGTAGCAGATCTAGTATGTTAAATCAGCAATATTTACTGGTAATGGAATAGTGCAACAGCCAACCTAAACAGTTTATTCAAATACTATAGAAATAGTTAAACCCTCACATTGAATTTCTGCTATTAAAAGAGAAATATTGCCAAAGCATTTGTGTCCATACTTTTCTTGTGGGTCACAGGCGTGCACTTACTTTTGCTCTCCTGTGACCTAGAATCAGCCAAGATCGGGCTAAAGTTGTTGTAGGCTGATGTCACAAAGCCAATCCAGGCTGTGAAAGGATCCCAACCATATTGTCAGGATCCACCCAGATGCCTGATTGGCAGATTGATCCACTTCTCAACATGCAGCGGAAAGGCAGAACCAGCCACTGCTGCCCACCACCCAATGCTCCAGTGAGCGGCGACTGCTCAGAGCTCTCCAAGAACTGAGCAATCAGCATCATTTGATAGCTCAGTTCTTGGGCTTAAAGGTGGCAGGGACAGCTGCAGCAGCAGACTGGTGCTGCAGCATGGAAGTGAGTATGGATCTTTGTTTTTTTTTTTTTGGTTTTTTTTAATATCCCCATACTTCTCCTTTAAATGTTGCTGATCTAGCAGATTAATTTTAAAACTAGCCACATACCTCTCAAGCTGATTATGCAGTCTCTATTCATTAACATTTATATTTGTCGACAACCATGTAGTATAATCCAATCACAGAGGCTCTAAAGAATTGTGGGTAAATCTTGTAGCATGGCAGTGTGACTGGTATGTGGCCAATGTTAAGGAAAATGTGGCTGGTATGTGGTAGTCTTAAGGAAAATGTGTCCTGCTTAAAGTGTATTTCCACTTTTGCAGTCAAATTTGAGAAAACCCCACTATTTGTTGTGTGCTCTCATTTATACTGCATACCATTTTTAAAAACTATTTCTTTTTTTTTTTTTATGTTTTTTGAGATTTTGGAAAATCTGTAATGGCAGATTATAGTGTCTCTGTCCCTACAGAGACCGGGAAATAACTGAACTCTCTCTCATTAACATACAATGTTTCTACATCTTTAACCCTTTTTAGGACAGCCAGTGTTCAAATCTAGTTTACAAATGATAATGAAGATCTACTAGCACAGTACAGATAGGGTTAATTATGGAAAACACTGCTCCCCAGCCCCCTTCTAAACATTACAAAGCAGTGAGGACTTGGCAAGTGTAATAGGCAAATAGAAAGACTTAAAAAGGTAACTAGCAATTTTTAAACTATTTCTCTGCTATGTTTATGGGAACATGTAAGAAATATAAAGTAGAGTTACCCCAATTTGGCTCCAAAAGTGGAAATACACTTACCCACAATGTCCGTTGTGCTTCTGAAGGAAAGCATTAAGAAACAGTGCAAGTTTTAGCATCTTTGTAAGTACCATCTGTGCTTCAATTAAACATTAGCATTCATCCACATTAGATCTTTCATCATTTCATGTAACGTAGCCCATAATGTAGAAAACAATCTGACATCCCCGACTGTTTTGTTCTTACCAAACTCGTTTTTCAACAGAGAATCCAGGCCAGAACCTGAACAGACTGTTTCAGGAGGTACCGAAAAGAAGAAATGGGTCTGAAGGTACGTCACAAGCAGCTGTCTCTATGTTTGTAGCCAACCATTCTGCTTCCACTCTTACTGTGTAACCAAACAGGGGCATGTGATTCTGGCCTGGAATCTGATAGAAAAACAGCTGTAGTAAGTATAAAACACGGGTTCTCAGACATGGTCTCTCTCACAGAAACTGTACTTTGTAAAACAAACTTGTGGTTAGGTTCTTTACGCTGGGTTTTTGAAGGTGGACCTCGGTCAACATTGAAAATGAGTTCTTAAAGCATGTAAGGTAGACACAGCCTACCTGGCCAGAGTTTATCTAGACGTCGCTGTAGCACTTTTGCTCACCCCACTGCTTATAACCCCAAGTTGACAGCAGTCTGGTGTTCAGAAAATGCCAAGGTGAGAAGGTGGACCAGGTTTTCGAATTGAGAGATTTATTAATATCCTTCAGACATGAAGACACAGCAAATTTAGGCAATCATGAACTGCCCATCAGATGTGAGGATTTGACAGGTGTGAAAGTCAGATTTTCTCTCAGGTTTCAAATAATGTTTTGTTGGGAAGATTTCCCTTACTATCACTGGAACTGAAAAAAACATGACAGAAGCACTAACCCCTCCCCACTCATTAAAAATAAATCGTAGGAGTTCCACCTCCAGGTTAAAGTATGGCAGCTGCCATTGCTGACTTGTCTTTAAAGGTTCAAGCACTGTAATCTAGAACCTTGCTTCATTAAATCACCTGTAAAATGTATGCATACTAAAGTGTATGTCCAGCCCAAACTTTTTTGTGTTTCTTTTGTTTTGTTTTGTTTTGGATAGAATGGGAAAGGTTTAAAGCCCCTTTCTTGCTTTGCAAAGACAGCAATTTGGCTTTCCAGAGGGCAGCATTAACATGTTTTAAGCTGTTAATAACAAGGTCCTGGAAGCAGTTATTGTGTGATGATCACATTTTTACCTATTTGCTGTTCTATGTTTCTGTTGGAGTGTTTTCCCTCTATAGACCTCATGCACACAGACATTTGCAGGCATAAAAAATTACTAGTGTAAAATTCCCTGCGTTTTTTTTGCACCTGGGGGGAGCTGCAGGTGGAAAGCATAGTCAACCATAGAAGTGAATGGCTGCACATCCCTGTACTAATGTACACTACACCCTGTACACCACATGAGACTCCCTGGGTATGGGAAAATGCTGGGAATTGTATACCTGCAATGTCCATGTGCATATAGCCTAATAGTTGTTTGTGTATCTTAGATAGTACAATTATCACCCCGATTGCTGAGGTGTAATTATTCTTAAAATTGTATTTTCTCAGACGACTGATAAACCAGCACTGATAAAGAGGAACAGTAATGGGTAGTAGTCAATGTGCAGTGCTGCCATGCAGGACACAATAGAGTTGATTTATTAAAACTGGAGAGTGCAAAATCAGGTACAGCTGTGCATGGTAGCCAATCAGATTCTAGCTTTAGCTTGTTCAGTTAATCTTAGAAACCAATCAGCTTCCAGGTTTTATTGTCAATGCAGAGCTGCACCAGATTTTGCACTGTCCAGTTTTAGTAAATAAACCTCACTGCCTGCATATATAACACAATTAAATTTATATTTGGATCATATGGATATTATTTTAACAGAAGAAAAGAAGCCATGAGACTCATTCACTATTTCATAATGAAAAGAGCATTCAGCACAGTATAGAAGCCCACAGTAACCAGTCATGATAATCTTCTATTTTACTTACTGTTGAAATGTGAAATCTGGTTGCCATTGCTTACAGCACTTTATAATTGCACTAATTACTGGCTTGTTAGATAAACCTACAGAGATAAACAGTAAACCAAAAGATAGTAAAGATTTCCAGTGAAATGTAATGTTTAATCTGATTACTGCAGGTAACAATAAAATATGTTTAGTGTCTTCAACGGTATATGCATGCTTGTTGCATGAGTCCATTTAGCATGGATTTCAGAAGAGAAGTAAAGTTACAGATTATTTATAACATATCAGGTAGAGTTTTAGAAAAAAAAAACATTTTTTGCATAGCGTCATTATCTGCTGTGCATTAGATGGTCTATTGATGCTCAAATTTGAATAGGTTTGTGTTTTAATGGATCTACGGTTTGTTTTTAGGATAGAATTGACAGGTCCTTACATATAAATAAAATGTAATAATAATTCCACATATCTTACATGCCTAGCAATGAATACAATTCTTCAAAAAATAGTTTTCTTGACGTTCACAATACAGATGCACAAGCATAAACCAACACGTGTACATATGAAGTTCACAAGGTTGTAGTTGAAAAAGAAGATTGGAATGAATACAATTCTAAAGCTGGCCATACATGGTTCAAATCTCAGCTGGTTCAGCAGGGACCTGCCGAGATGCAATCCATCTATGGACAGGCTGATTGTACTTAATAAGTTAATCCATTGATCGACTTTGGTACAATCAGCATGTTAGATTTTTACATGCGATTATTGCAGCTATAGCGAATAGCAATAATCACTGTTCTTCCAGCAGGGACAGCTCCCTGTACCCTCTCACCAGGAGAGCACAATAGCTCCACGGAGGGATTGGCCCATCAATACTGATCAGGGGTGGACTGACAACTCATGGGGTCCCCAGGCAATAGGGGATCATGGGCCCATGTCCTTGCCCAAACTCAAAAAAGCCTATGAAAAAGGTACCAGGGTCATCTCATGGGGCCCCCTACTGACCGCGGGCCCTCAGGCAGTGCCCGAGTTTCCAAATGGTCAGTCCGCCCCTGATACTGACTGTGTTGATGGGAGAATCAAGCTAAAGAAAATCGCATCATCTATAGCAGGGGTGGGCAAACTTTTTGACTTGAGGGCCGCAATGGGTTCATATATTGGACCCGGGGGCCGGACCAAGAGTAGATGAATGATGTGTATGTGTCATCCATAGTAAGTATAGTAATATTCCCCCATAGTAAGCATAGTAATTAATCCCCCATATAGTAATTCATCCCCCATATAGTAATTCATCCCCCATAGTAATTCATCCCCCATAGTAATTCATCCCCCATATAGTAATTCGTCCCCCATATAGTAATTCGTCCCCCATATAGTAATTCATCCCCCATAGTAATTCATCCCCCATATTAAGTCCCCAAGTCCCCCCTGTGTCAATTCACTTACCTTTGCTCCGCACGTTCCTCTCGCCGTGTTCCCGCGCCGTTCCGGTGTAGCATGAAAATCTGTCTCCTATGAGGATCTGTCCCCCTCGACGTATCTGCGCATGTGCCAGTTTTAGGCATTAGCAGCCGATCGGCGATCTCCGGCACATGTGCAGATACGTCGAGGGGGACAGATCCTCATAGGAGACAGATTTTCAAGCTACACTGGTCTTCAGGGCGGACTGTGAGAGGAGCCTAGCGGGAGCCTAGCTCCGCGGGCTGGATTAAAAGGTCCGCCAGGCCGTACGCCCGGGCCGTAGTTTGCCCATTGCTGATCTATAGCCTACCTAAAGTAACATTTGCTCTGTGTTAAGTGGTTGTAAAGCTGAACTGCAGGCGTATTTAAATAAAACACAGTTATATTCATAAAAATATATCTCAATCTGTCTTGATATGAGGCTCCCCTGTGAGGGAGGTTTAATACTCTGAACCAGTCAGGCCTTTCTGGACATGCTGAGAAGGACCAGGCTAAAAGAGGGAGAGAGTCTCATCAGACTGCTGCTTCTCCTCCATTGTTCAATCACAGGCTTGAGGCAAGGTGGTAACCAAGCTGCATTACTTACAGTATATGCAGTGGAAAAAAAAAAAAAAAAAAGTGACTTCGCCCAACATGGCCGTGCTGTATGTAAGGGCTGTGTAAATGCCAGGAAGGGCTGGTTAAAATTACATACCTTTGGCGGATAGAACAGCTCTCATGTTTTTATATGTATTTGAGCTTTGTATTTGGTGGTTTCCCTGTAGATCAGCCTTACCAACAATGATATTCAGGCAAAATAACTGCAGAAGCTATTAAATGGAATATAAATACACTTTTCAGCATTCTTCTTCTAGATAAAAGGTTTGTTTGAACGTTAAGTGTCTCTTTGTATGCTTACTGCCGATGACAAAGATCACGGATGATCTTATTGAAGGCGAAACCCAGAATTAAGTTATAACTCATCCCAAAACCAGCACCTGTTTAGCTAGAAGTAATTGCTAACACCAGTACTTAATTATTATTGTGGGGCTTAATATACTGTAGTGCAAATTGACCCCCTGACGAATGCACATTGAAAATAGAGGCTGAGCTGCTCAGTGGTTTGAATTGCAGAATTATAATGTTGTATGGCAACCGTTTGCATGAGCAGCTGTACAGGACTCTTAAACAAGAAAATTTGTGCAGAAATGCAATAGAAAAATTGTATGAAGACATTATGTCCCATCCATGTCCAGAAAGGCAGTACATTTTACAATGTCCTTATGATCAACTAGACTACAATAGTGTTTAAAGCATCAGATAAGGACTAAAGAAAAAAAAAAGATGCAGTACATCTTTGCAATTCATGCACATACACTCCAGTATAAAAAAAAAAAACCTGATCTTTGCTGGAAATGCACCCATCTCTTGATTTTCCTGTTGTAGGCTGACAACACACAGCAGCATTTTTTGTGGATTGAGTGGTGTCAGCTCTGCACATTTTTTTTGCCAAACTATTCATCCATGGCACTCTCCATTTCCAAAGCATAGACACTATTCGACTTGTATCCCAAGATAAGTACTGGGAGAGCTAAACAGACTTTTAAGGTAACACAAGAAGTGTGTAGAGGACACATGACAGCTCTGAATTTCTGAATAGATCAACAATTTTGAACTTAATAAACATATATAACAAAATGCTTTCAGTGTTAAATTTCACAGAGCAAAATAAGAGAAATCCATTGAGTTCATAGGGTTCATTCATTGGGTTTACATGCACTATACAATATATGGTCCCACTTCAACTCGGATCGCTTAGGCTCACAAGATTCAGGTTCACAAAGGCCACACACCCCCACCCCCTTGCC